CTGCCGAGGGCATCGCCCTGAATGGAGACCGACGCCCGGCGCTGTCGGCGGCGGACAGACTCGCGTGCAGCCCGTGAAGATCGCGGCCCGAGGGCCCTGGCTCACCGCGCAGCGCGCGGGCCCGACGATGCTCATCTGCGCGTGTCCAGGCGACGGCTGCGCATCCCCGGGATTCCGGGCACGAAGCGAGGTGTTCGCAAAGGCCCGCGCGGGGCGGAGCAGGGGAGCAGGGGCCGCCTGCCCTGGACCCTGAAGTGCGCAGCGACTGGGTGTGTGTAAGGTTTCCTGATGTCCAGCTGCAAGTTCACTTGAGCAGCAGACCTGACAAGTATCCGAGGTCAGAACCCTACTTGCATTTTTAAAAAGTTACCATGTTAATAAAAGTATTCATTTGAACAACACAAAAAATTATGTAACAAAAATTACATCTGCAAAGAAAGGGCTAACATATGGGCAGTGATTTCCTCCGGATTCCGGGGTATGAATGACTTATTTACATGTTTTTGAATTTTCATAGTTTTTCAATCTAAAAAATAACTTGCTGTGAAACACGAGGTCGCATCTGTGTCCCCTGCCCACCCCTCCTCCCCACAGCTGCTAACTGCAGGCTGAATGAGTTAAAGCAGGTTGTTCCAACTAGAGCTCCCGGCCTTTCCCCCGACAGTAGCCTCCTGACTCCATCCCTGCTCAAACTTTTCCCTGCTCTGAGGTCTCAAAGGCCTCAGCCCATTACAGCACCAGCGCCCAATGCAAAGAACACATGATTTATTAAAGACAACTTGTCATCAACAGCATTGATTCAAGAAACAAAACTGATTTAAAAAAAAAAAAGCAGACCGACACTCTGAACCCCTGGAGTGAGACCTGCTGAACTCATACAGTGAGTGTCCAATCCCTGTGGGCAGCTTCCCACGCAGGAAGCTTGGGCACTCCGGGTGTCTGGGGTGGAGGGGGAATTGCCACGGGCAGGTCCTTTTCTCAAACCCAGGCATGGTCCCTGTGCTCCTGACCTTCATCCCAAAGTCGAGGAGAAAACACTGGACTCAGGCCTGCCTCCGAGGCAAATTAGATGCAGTGATTCAAGTAGTAGGGCCCCAGGCTCCCCGGGAAGGCAAGGGGACAGGCGGGAGGGATGAATGTTCGGGAGCTGGGCAGTGTCTGCTGGGCCCCAGGCTGTGGCCAAGCCTCTGGCTGTGCAGTTGAGCTGGAGCTGAACAGGCGCCGACAAGCTCTGGGAAGGTGGGCGGGCTGGCGGGACGCCTCGCTGTCCTGTCCGGGCAGGGGTCGCGAAGTCTCCCTTAGGCTCAGTTCTAGTACAGAGCTCAGCGTGCTCCCAGCCAGGATGAGCTGGAGAACCGGGAGGGCTCCAGAGTTGGGGGACAGGATGCTGAGTCCCAATTCTTTTCTACCTTCCAGCCCCTCCCTCACCCCCAAACCAAGCACTTTCCAATCTGCAATAAATAACCAGCAGTCTGAATAAATAGTAAAAATCTCCCAAAAACTGTTATGAGAGGAGGTGGTAAAAAGGCAAGTGCAGGAAGTCCCAGCAGCATCCAAGGGACAGGAGGAGCTGTCTGGGGGAAGCAGTTCCTGGCCCAAAGCCTCACCTATGTGGGCAGCAGGGCACCTGCCAGCCGTTTGAGGATTTGAGGACCCTGGCTCCACTACCCAGCCCCCCAGACCCAAACCATAGGCCTCCTTACAAAAGGAGGGGACCTGACCAGAGTAAGCGAGCTCCTCCCACTGCCCAGCAGTGGGCACAGCCAGCAGCTCCTGCTCTAAGTGCACCTGCCCCCAAGCAGGTGACCAGAGAAGGGCCAGCACCTCCTTCAGCCTGCTGGGGGGGCCACGCAGCTCCCCTGGCCAACAGGACCCAGGGCCTCTGGGCTCAGCTCCGCCTGGCCCAGGGAGGCTCCCTTTGGTCCCGTTTGCCCTTCATGGGACTCGCCTCCCTGGAATGGGCCCTGGAAGCCACAGGAGTGACGCCTCTTCTGAAGCACTAGGATCCCAAACCCTGGGACAGCACCACCGTAGCCCTTTTCCTTCGGGGAAAGCTCCGGAAGACTTGGCTCTCCCTCTCCCTCCAACATCCCTGGGCAGGAAGGAGGGTAAGAGGCTCAAAGCCTGACGGGTTTCTCAGCAGCTTTTGGTTTCCAAGGTTTCGGGGGATGGGGGCAGGTTCAGGGCCCTCTAGTGAGGCACTGTGGGCTCCCCCCCAGTTGGAGGGACCCGGGAGCCCAGGGCTGGGGGAGGAACAGGGTGCACAGGCCAAGGAGGGGGGAGTGAGGGGAAGAGGCTGGGGGTAAGGCACCCCAAGAAAGGGGCAGAGGCAGAGCAACGCTAAGGAGCAAAGAAAGTCACACAGCCTCTGCAAAAGACCTGGGGGG